TAGTAGGAGAATAGCAATGAATGTCTAAAAATAGGAATTTAGAGTTCCCCTTCGTCATCTTTTCATCCCTTTCATCATCATCAAATTTCCACCTCAAACTGTAAAACGGCCAGTGCCCTTAGACCCCGAGAACTGTCTCCTTCCCTTCAGTGACATCTCTCCTCCCTAGGCAAGTGCATCATGCCCTTCCCCTTCCTCTCTCCGATGAGGTCGCACCAGAGGATGGCCTGAGGGAGGGTTGGGAGGGTGTGAGAAGGATGACCAATAACAATGATGACTTCTTCCATTTACTAAGTGCTTTCTGTGTTTCCCACGCTGTGCTAAAGTTCTGCCTTCTTCATCTCATCGAATCCCAGGACTCCCTGGAGTGGGGATTATTGTTCCCATTTTACAGTGATAACACTGAGGCCAAGAAAGTACAACTAGCCCAGAGCTAACAAACTACAGCTACTGTGTAGGAAAGCAGAGTGTCCTTCAGGTTCACATCTATTTGACTTCCAAACCCATTTCTCTTTCTTTCTCAGCGTAATGCTGCCTAATAATCAGCTCTTTGCAGTAGAACTTGTACGTACCTCAAGCTGGAAAGAAAAACAAAACAAAACAAAATGCTGTATGTGTTTCAGCGTCAGTGGTAGATATATTTGGGGCTGAGATGCTATTTCTTGGTTGCCCTCTTTAACAGTACTTGAAAGGCTCTGCTAAAGGAAGAACATGGGCTTTGGAGACAGGGAGACAGAGCTGGGGCAAGACACTTCAACCTCAGAGCCTCGGCTTCCCCGTCATAAAAAAGGGGTAATAGTATGTGGGATCAAAAATGGAGTCTTATATACACAGCATCTGGTAGATAAGACAGGAGGCCAGAGGGTGGCATGATTAAGCACCGTTTACCCAGAAGTAGACAGGCTTGATTCCAGTTCTTTTTTTTTTTTTTTTCGGGTATGCGGGCCTCTCACTGTTGCGGCCTCTCCCGTTGTGGAGCACAGGCTCCGGATGCGCAGGCTCAGCGGCCATGGCTCACGGGCCCAGCCGCTCCGCGGCACGTGGGATCTTCCCGGACCGGGGCACGAACCCGTGTCCCCTGCATCGGCAGGCGGACTCTCAACCACTGCGCCACCAGGGAAGCCCCAGTTCTGCTATTTACTAGCTGTGTGATGACCTTGGGCAACTACTTAACCTCTTTATACATTTCCTCTTCTGTAAATTGAGGGCAAATTATAGCACAGACTTCACAGGGTGGTTATGAGTACAGAGCAGTTCCAGGCACAGAGTAACCTCTTTAGGTATGTTTGTCATTGTTACAGCAAGTGTTCACAAATGGTGGTCACCTTCCCTCCCCAGCTAGGAAATGTCCACAAGGCGCTGTCTGACCCACTTGTTGGTCCCCAGGATATTCTCTGGGCATCCTGGAATCCCTCCTGGTCTCAGCAGTTAGTCCCAACTCTCAGAGTCAGCTCTAACTCCATCTAGTTCTGGAGCTGCTCCCCTCCGGTGGTCTAAAAGGCTGCACAATTAACCCTTCCCTGCCCGGACTGAATGTGAGCTCAACCACCTAATTCTCAGCTCCTTGCTGGTCATTAACTGTTTAATGTGTGTGAGGAATGTCTCTTAACCTTGTGCGTCATTAGAATGAGTGATTTTGTAAGGCAATAAATCAAACTCGCTTCTAATGGAACCAGATTCCAGCACCTTTTTTTTCTAAGAGCCTTACAAAGAAAGCTATTACAAGTTGGGAAAGATTGATTTTATTTAAAACCGAATATGTGCGAAAGCAGGCAGAGTGGTTATGACATAAATTACTTTGATATATTGAGCGCAAAGGCAAATGCAATTTCTTTCCCCCTTTTAGCTTTCTGTGTTCAGCAGGGGGGTGGTGATTTATCTTTTCACCCATTTCTATCTGACTTAGGCTGCTTTTAACTCGAGGGAAGAAGGGAGAGATGGCCTATGTTGGAGGGACCTGCAGGAGGAGGACAGGAAACGGAAAAGGAAAGAAAGAAGATGTCTCCTCTAATCTCTGGACCCTCAAATGATACTATTCAGCCTGCCCCCCACTTCCCGATCTAGCCTGGTCCCCTGTGGAAGAAAATAAACAGCAAACGGAAGAAACATCTCAAATGGAAATCAATACGCAATTTACCATGTCATTATCTTAGGCTCAATTTTTGTGTTAATATAACAAACGAGAACTGCATATAATAAATATCAAACCCTCTTCATTGAGAGAGAGATAAAGAATAGAGTCCATCATAATCTAATTTTCATTTCTTTTTCCAGGTGCTACGGATCCTCTTTCGGATGCTTCTAGTTCCAGTAAAAGAGAAAAGTAGGCAGTAAAGGTTCATTTTCTGATGTCAGAGCCCTCACTACCCCTGTTACTCTTTCAAGAAAGTTATTCATCTTTGCTCACGTCGGTACTAAACATTTCTTTAAGGCTCTGCCTCTAGCACCGTGTTGGCGAAGAGGTTCTGCCCTCACCAGTATGGCTCTGCAAACTTTGACTTTCTGGCTTAATTCCTGAAAACAAAAATCTGAAGTTCTGGATTAAATAAAACTGAAGATATTTTATTGTTGAGGCTTCTCAGAGCTTTAAGTATGCTACCATGTTGTAAATCTCTGAGAGTGATACAATGCACCACTTTCCAAACTTTTAACAAGGGACACTTTCTACAGAGCATCTCGAAGTTATCCCATTGTTAGAGATATCTGGGGAGATGTTCATCTCTTTTACAAGGGTTTACCAGGCCTTTCTCAAGAGAACCTCATTTGCTCATCTAAACTCATCTCCTCTCTCTGCCCCGCATCCCATTCTGAGTTAAGGCTGCACAGAGTTCATCATCAACCTGGAAGACATTCTGCTTTTTCCCCCCATGTTCTTACATAGCACAAACAGGCTTTTCTTCTTCAAAAGCCATTTCTCCTCCTCCTGCCCCGGGCAAATTCTGACGTCTTTTAGAACCCAGTTTTGCGGTCACTCTTCAGTGAAGCTGCCCCAGGTAGAGTTATGGTGAGTTCCTGGGGTGTCAATAGCAGCTTCAGAGACAGACTGACACAGGCACATGTGTGACAGTCTAGATAGGCATTGACTATTACCACAATAGTAGAATATTACTGGGGTATTGAAACTTTGGTAAAATAGTGTTTTAAAACCAGAACAAAACCGAAAACTTTGTCAGTGAGAATACTTTCTTTTTTTTTTTTTTTTTTGTGGTATGTGGGCCTCTCACTGTTGTGGCCTCTCCCATTGCGGAGCACAGGCTTCAGACACGCAGGCTTAGCGGCCATGGCTCACGGGCCCAGCCGCTCCGCGGCTTGTGGGATCTTCCCGGACCGGGGCACGAACCCGTGTCCCCTGCATCGGCAGGCGGACTCTCAACCACTGCACCACCAGGGAAGCCCTTGTGTGAGAATACTTTGAGTATTTCTCCACTTTTCTATCCACACCCCCCTTATACTTTCTCTGCCCTTTTTTTGTGGTGTTCTGTGCCCTCAGAGCTTTATCTCTGCAGACTGCATTGCCTAGATCTCTTTGCCAGGTGGCGTTTGCCAATGGGAGGTACCAGAAATGTTGGGGTACCTCACTACCCTCCTTTAGGGTGCACCTGATAGGCAATAACTGGACACTGGTACACTTTGGCAGTGTTTCATTTTCATTTGGAGGAACAATCTTGAGGAGGGCTGGTCTGAAGGCAGTTCCCAGCTCCTCCTGCCTTGAGCAATTCAGCTCTCACCCCAAACCTGCAAACATTGCAGAGAAAGTATAAGGGGAGCGTGGATAGAAAAGTGGAGAAGCACCAACCTGCCTTTCTTAGAGGTTGTATTAATTTACATTCCTGCAGCAATATATAAATATGTTTATTAAGCTATTTCTTCTCCAACATAGTGCATTTTCAAAGTATTGGATCTTTTCCCATCTGATAGCTGGAAAATGTAACATTATACTTTTAATAGCTTTTCTCTTTTAATATGTGTGTTAATGATATATTTTTCAATGTTTTAAGGATTATTTATAGTTTTCTTCATTGAACATCAGTAATTTCACATCCTTTGCCCATATATTCTATTAGAGGGCCTGTTTTTTTCTTATCAATTTACAGTGCTCTTTATATATTAAGGGAATAGACCTTTTATGTCTGTGCTTAATTTATGTGCTTTTTTCAGCTTATCTTTTTCTTTTTTCATTGTTTATGGTTTTTTCCTGTGCAGACTTGTTTTTGTGTTGTCAAATTAATCACATTTTCAGGGAGTATGGACTTTATGCCATACTTATGCCTTCTGTACATTGAGATTTTATATGTATATTTTTTCTAGTAACTACATGATTAAAAAAATAAGTCTTTGAATCATCTGAAATTTCTTTAGGTGTAAGGGTTGAGATATTCTGCTCCAAATCACTACCATTTTTCCTAACACCATTTATTGAATAATCACTTTTTATCTCCTGACTTATAATTTCATTTTTATCAAATGCCAAATTCTGAAATATATTTCAGTTTAATTCTGGACTTTATACTCCACCCCTTGTGCTGCCTGTCTGTTCATGCACCAGTAACACTCTGCTTTAATTATACACTTCATGGTGAGACAGGAAATGTCTTACCTGACCCATAATTTATTTATGCATTTTCCTACTATTATTGCATGAACTTGTGTGCTCTACTTCAAATTAATTATGAAAGCTGATATAAGGTATTCTTCAGTTCTTAAAAAAAAATCACAAAGAAAGAAGAGGAGGTAAGGGAAACATTCAGATTCTTTTCCATTCACGAACATGATTTTCAGTATTCTGGAGGAATCTTTTTAGTTTTTTCAGATATTTTTCATATTCTTTTTTTTTTTTTTTTTCCATACGCAGGCCTCTCACTGTTGTAGCCTCTCCCATTGCAGAGCACAGGCTCTGGATGTGCAGGCTCAGCGGCCATGGCTCACGGGCCCAGCCGCTTCACAGCATGTGGGATCCTCCCGGACCGAGGCAAGAACCCGTGTCCCCTGCATCGGCAGGCGGACTCTCAACCACTGCGCCACCAGGGAAGCCCCATATTCTTGATTTTATTATTTACCACCTAGTATAATTAAGAAAAGAAATGAGATTTTGGAATAATCAATACTTCTGTAACAATTGTTGATATACACATTCACTTCAGGATCGGAGAATGATCTTTTTACAGAAATCCAGATTTTCAGATCACTAATCCTAGAATAGGATCTAATTCTCCATCCTCTTAGAGTTGGGATTCAAATACCAGTTTTGTGCTTTAATAGTTGAGTAATCTTTGGCAAAGTTATTTTATTTCCTCTGTGTCTTTTTTTTTTAATAAAATGGAGATGATGTTGTGGGATGTTCCCATTTGCAATTATCCAGTGGCCACCAAAGGCTGAGTAGGCCAGCTCTGCCACTGATGGATGTGAAAACTCTTTGGCTCAGCACACTATGTCTATAGGAAGCTACATGTATTAAAAATAAAGACTCACAGCTAAACCAAAACGTTCAATTTCTGGGCCCCCCTTTGAAGAATAAGAAGATTTCCCCCATTTTCTCTTTATGGCAGGAGAATTAAATTTGATTAAGCCACAGTGAGGTTCTGGAGGAAGTTTCTTAGAGAAGATGGGTCTTTCAAGGAGAGTCCTTCCAAGGGTGAAACTTCATCCACATCACTGTGCTAGTTCTTAATGGTCGAAAGCTGCCTATCTACCATTTTCCTGCTATTGGAATGTTCATCTTCTCCCTCCTCCACTTAGTGCTGAGGCCAAGACAAGGAGCCACAGGGGCTTCAGGCCACCAACGGGCATCCACCAAGGTTTGTCCCAAAGCTGGTCATCACAGACCTAGGAGCGCTGCCCTTCAGAAGCCACAGTACCCTGTGAAGCGTGCTGGTTTCTGAATAAAGGGAGTGAGCATTTTAGTTTGTGAGATGTCAGGATGCAGGAGAGCGTGTGAGACATTAAGCAGTTTGGTGCGGTTGGCTGGACACCTGTAGGAAATGGGTTGAGGAAGATGAGGACCAGATGGGACTGGGTCAAAAATGGCTGGAAGTAAAACTAAACCCAACTAGCTGACTGGTCACTTTCTTCTTTGTGTCCTTACTCCACACTGCATGGATTTCTATTCTGCTATTTTTCAGAATTGGTTATACTTATAAAATATAAGTTGCCTTTACTTCACTATAAAACCCTGAGGAAGAAGAATGTTTGTTGCATTCCTTTCTATCCCAAATGGCCCATACAGTGCTTGGCTCCACAGGACTGTATAGTATTATATGATTGTAGCCCAACTGGTTATTATGAGCATGGATAACAGAATGAAATAGACTTGGGACTGAGTCATGACCTGTTACTACCTACCATGACCTTGTACAACTTAATTGCCTGAGCACCAGAATATTAGTAATAAAATAATAATAACTAATAATAATTATTATTTTTAGTTATTATTATAACATTTCTTTAGAGTCAACTATGTGCCAGGCATTGATAAACTTTTTACATGCATTATCTTATTTAATTCTCATATAAACTGCATCATAGGTATGATTTTATTCCAATTATTCAATTGATAAATAGCAATGCATACATATTATGACTCACTGAAGTTATAGATACTGAAAAATAAATAAAGTACTTAAATTGTTGCTTGTTTGTTTTCCATCACAGTCTGAGCAAGAAAACTAATGCCGAAGCTAGATAAGCAGAACGTAGATTGTCCCCACGCATTAGTTGTGTGCTACTGTGTAATTACTCCAAAACACAGTGGCTTAGAACAGCAGTAAACATTTATTATCTCACACAGCTTTTGTAGGTCAGGCGTCCTACAGGCGTCAGGAGCAGCTTGACTGGGTATTTCTGGCTCAGGCTCTCTTGTGAAATTGTAGTCAAGATTTTGGCTGGGATGCAGTCATTTGAAGGCTTCCTTGGGCTGGCGGATCCACTTTGAAGATGGTGCACTCACATGCTCCACAAGTGATTGCAGGCTGCTGACAAGAGGCTGCAGTACCTTGCCATATGATGTCTCCATAGGGTTGCTTGAGTGTCCTCATAACATGGCAGCTGGCATCTCACAGAGTGGGTGATTCCAGAAAAGACAAGGCTAAAGCCACACTGACTTTTATGACCTAGCCTTAAAAGCCATACTCTGTCATTTTGAAATACTCCTTTAGTTATACCCCTATTCAAGAGCATGAAAATCAGGAAGCAAGACTCATTGGAGGCCATCTTGCAGCGTGCCTACTGCCATGTGGGTTAAGAGGATGAGAAAGAAAGATCACAGCGTCAAGTCTACACAAAAGTTAGTATGGCTCAAGACAGGTTGGGATGAGTAGTTGAAAGCTAAAGATATGAACAATGCAGAAGTGAGAGAAGCCAGATTTTATGTGGCTATGTGTGTGTGTTTCAGGATGGGGAACGTGACTTAAGTGATCTACCTGTGTAGAGACGGACTTTCTTTGAAAACTTGAATACCCTTTTTGAAAGATTGGGTGGGGGAAATGTAGAGAGCATGGATAACATTCATCTCAGATACACAAACAGGGGAAAATGTATAAACGAGACACACCCTTCAGAAGAAAGTCTGAAAGTTAGTGACCTTTTACCAGACTCTTGTGTTTTAGATAAAAGAGAATGTGCTCCAGATAATGCCTGTAACTGGCCCAAAAGATGATGTCACTGAATTGAACCTGCAATTTAAGTAGAAATAAAAGGAAAAAAAAAAATCATGACGATAAAGAAGTAATAAAGACCTGGTTTGAAAAACAAAAATTCCTATTTGGCAATATCTTGGGGAGGAAAAAATGATGGTATTTAGATCAGCAAATCTGGGTCAAATGCATCTCAAGGAATTAGCAGAAAAGAGTGGAGGGGGGAAAAACTGAGATTTTTGAACAGGAAATGCATGGCTCCTGCAAAGAAGTTATATACTTTTTATTATTTTCCAGCTCAAGTGGTTGACCTGCGTTCATGGTCAAGTTCAGAGGTCAATTTTGTGATGGCTCATCGAATTATATCTAAAGTCCAGAGTCATGTGGGCTCTTCCGTGGGGCTCCCTTCCCACCACCCCCGCCCTGCAATCATGCTGAGGAAGAAAGCCAGGTCTGCATTCCAGCATAATGTATTCTCCATTAGTCTAAGCTGTGACTTGTTCATGATTACATTCAATTTGAATGTTTACATTCACTTTCATAATATTTCCTCTGGGTTTATTATTTCCATTTGTAAAAATTCACTCAGTCTTCTGTGTCGGAGAAAGCCGATGTAATTAGCCAAGGGCTGTTGCACTGACACACGAGGCCTGGAGCTTTTCAAGAGCAGATAGATGATGCTCTACTAGAGAGAACTTGAGATTCCCACTCCTTTGCTTGCCTCAGACTTCTAAGGCATTGGATGTAAGATGGTGTTGGGAGGTGAGAGAGGGCTTTGAGAAAACAGGGGCATTGTAGGTGTGGCTTTGCTGTCTCATGGATAACTATATTTTGGTCTTCTCGACACCCTCTTTGCCAGGGCACTGACCTCTCCTGACTCGCACACCAGATCATCTACATGGGTACCTTGGGGATTACCATGTAAGTAGATTAAAGCTTCCTCATGGTGGCTGTGGGCTGGGTAAATATCATATTCATTTCTCTGTCTTTGAATATGTATTGATTCCGAAGACCTAGGTTTGGAAAAATGAGCAGTTGTAGGGTAATATATTCAGTCACTCATTTGTTCATTCAATTCACATTTCCTAAAGGCACATTATGTATTAGGTACCAGCTTATGTTCCAAGAGTGCAATGGTTTTATTCTCCAGTTCTTGAGAGGCAGTCCGCTGTTGCCTCCGTGTAGCATCTTCCAATCTTATATATTTGATCCATCAACAAAGGAAAGACAGGATTAATTTCTGTTAGTAATATGCCTCTATGAATGCCATTCTCACAAGTTTTCTTGAAGGTCTCTGTGGACACATCTTTGGATTTCCTCTGAGAATGGACATGAAGTGCCCATTTTATCCAAGTCTAAATAGACTCAGAAAATTGCCTATAAGCTTGCACCAGAACCAAGACAATCTTTAATTTTCTTTCCCAAGATCTTGAATGGACTCCAGTCTATTATTAATTGGGATTATTTCAGTCTAAAGTAATAAAACACCTGATTTAAACTGACTCGACTACAGAAGGGAACGTATTGCTTTGTGTGACTCATCAACTTGACTTCAGGAATCAATTTGACTTCAAGTGTGGTTGCACAGGTACCTAAACAATGCCAGCAGGACTGGGTTTCTCTTCTTCTCTGGATCTTGGCTCTGCTTTCTCTGTGCTGATCTCATTCTCCAGTAGGATCTCAGAGGCACCACCTAACTCAATGCAGTTCTTAGGCTGCATCCTACTCGGTTTAAATCCAGCATAAAAACGACCATGTGAAGTGGGACCAATTGAAGTCATGAAGTGCACTCTGACTGGATTGGTTTAGGTCGTGGGCCCCCCACTGGGCCAGTTATCATGGGGTGGGTATGTTTCATATCCTCTTTCTCTAGGACTAGGGGTGAGCTTAACTTAAACCACACAACATGAGAGTGGGGGAGTGGGCATCTCCAAATAACAATTGAGTCCATCCCCTCATGAAGTGGGAAAATACTCCAGGGAAGCAAACCATACATGTTCACTACACATACATTGATTTAATTTCCCTGGATTAAATATTTAAATTATTTTCTTAGATATGTAAAATGATGAAAGAACTAGCAGTTGTATTTTGTTATGTGCTGGTAGACACACCTGACTTATTGTGTTTAACTACAATAATTTGACCCATTTTGGATAAGTTGACCATATGAGAGGGGGCAGGGAATAGACTAAAACACGTCACATAAAAACAGAAGAACCGAGGATGTTCAACCTCGGGGAGTTTTTAGTACTTTGCAGCATGGTTGGAGGGAGATAGTATTACATCACTTATTTGAAGTACCTTAAGGCAGAAGTAAAAACAGATTTGTTCTTGAGACACAGAGATTTCTACTGATAAATAGCTGTCCAGTGTAGGAACTGATGCCTTGGTTAGTACTGTTTCCTAGACTGTAACTGTTCAAGCATAGTTTTATCAGACTGTCAAGAATGGTGTAGAAGGGCTTCCCTGGTGGCGCAGTGGTTGAGAGTCCGCCTGCCGATGCAGGGGACACGGGTTCGTGCCCCGGTCCGGGAAGATCCCACATGCCGCGGAGTGGCTGGGCCCGTGAGCCATGACCACTGAGCCTGCGCGTCCGGAGCCTGTGCTCCACAACGGGAGAGGCCACAACAGTGAGAGGCCCGCGTACCGCAAAAAAAAACAAACAAACTACATGTTGGGCATTGTACTAGATCTTTTGAATATGTTACTAATTGTGTCCTCATAGCTCTACATAAACTATAGAGATTGTTATTTCAGTTTTACACCTGAGGAAACTGATGCTCAGAAAGTGGAAATAAGTTGCCCAAGACACACAGTTCTTAGGTGGGAAATAGGATATAGACCCTGATATTTATGACTTCAAAACACACCCTCCATGAAGAACTAAATTAAGTTGTACTTAATCCTGAGCTCTGGTTTTGGAACTATAAATGAACTCAGGTTTATAGCCTGAATTTGTTCCCGTATGTCTATGCAATCCCCTGTGTCTGCCAGGCTTTCTCTGATCCCACTCTGAAAGTGTAAGAGGTTGTTCAGAATGACCTGAACCCAATTAGAAGAACCAATGTGCTGCATGTTAAGCTCTGAGGAACAAAAGACCTCTTCTTAGTGTCTTCACAGTGTGATGCTGTGTTTAATAACCCTGAATGTGAAAAATCAAGAGCGTAAAGTATCCTAATTCCAACTCTCCAGGCATCTGGGGTCCAAGAATTAGCCACTTTGCTTTGGTAAAATGAGAGAGCATTAAACATAACAGGAAATCAGATTCCCTAGAACCACTAGCTCTTATTTCAGATGAGAAAACTGAGTCCCAGAGGAGTAAGATGATGTATACAAGGCTACATAGCTAGTTAATGATGGAACTGGGAATAGAATCCCGTTTACTGGTCTCCCAGGAAAGAACACTTATCACCCTGGATCGTAGCCAACCTAAGATGAAATATTAAGCCAACCCAACTCTTAGAAGAATAGACTAAAACACTAAAGGTTTTATCCTATTTTGAACTTCTGTCCTCTCCCCACCCCTCACCCAATACTATTATACTGTCCATAAAATCTTGGTTCAATAGATTGTTGAGTCATGATTTGACTAAACTACGAGATTAGAGTTTGCTTTAGGCATTTATAGAGGGAAGGGGAAGGAGGAATATGGGAAGGAGCTCCTATTGTAAATAGTGCTGCAGTGAACATTGGGGTGCATGTAACTTTTCAGATTATGGTTTTCTCCGAATATATTCCCAGAAGTGGGATTGCTGGATAATATGGTAGTTCTAATTTTAGTTTTTCAAGGAACCTCCACACTGTTCTCCATAGTGACTGTACCAATTTACATTCCCACCAACAGCTTAGGAGGATTCCCTTTTCACATACCCCCTCCAGCATTTATTGTTTGCAGACTTTTTGATGATGGCCATTCTGACTGGTGTGAGGGGATACCTCATTGTAGTTTTGATTTGCATTTCTCTAACAATTAGCGATGTTAAGGATCTCTTCAAGGGCTTTTTGGCTATCTGTACGTCTCTGTTGGAGAAATGTCTATTTAGATCTTCTGCCCATTTCAGACAAAGACAAATATCGTATGATATCACTCATATGTGGAATCCAAAAATATGATACAAATGAACTTATTTAGAAAACAAAAACAGACCAACAGACTTAGAAAACAAACTTATGGTTACCAAAGGGGAAAGGTGGTGGAGGAGGGATAAATTAGGAGGTTGGGATTAACAGATACTCACTACTATATATAAAACAGATAATCAACAAGAACCTATTGTATAGCATAGGGAACTCTACTCAATAGTCCGTAATAACTTGTATGGGAAAAGAATCTGAAAAAGAATAGATACATGTATATGTATAACTGAATCACTTTGCTGTACACCTGAAATTAACACAACATTGTAAATCAACTATACTCCAATATAAAATAAAAACAAAAAAAAGAAGTGAAAGGAGATCAGAGAAGGCTAAAATTCTATACTTAGTGAAATAAAGGCATTTTCAAAGAAAAAAAAAAAAAGGAGGGGGGGCCTCCTACAGCCATGATTCTCTCACAAATAACTGCAATCACTTGTGCAGGAAAAAGATAAAACATGACCTAGAGTTACTGGAGAGGGACCAGAAGCAGACTAATTCTAGAGGAAAGAGGACGGCAAGGAGCAAGTGACTTGAAGTCACGCCAGAGGCAGTGCCATTTTGCATGTCTACAAAAACAAAGCGAAGCAAAAAAGCAAAACACCTCACTAAACATTTCTTAAAAATTCTAAGATCAAAACCAAATGAAATCTACCATCTTTCTGGGCTGTAAAACCAGAGGACAGAGATAGAAGTGACCACATTGACCAGAAAGTGAGGGAAGATAATTAGAAGGAGGGAGACAGAAAGGGGAGCCTGAATTTCTAAGTATAAACTTCCCAATCTCTTGGGTGACTCATGAACTACGCAAGTATGGGACAAATTCTAGCTAAGAAGAAAACAAATGAGCTTAAATTTGAACTACCACCCAAGAGGTAGAGTTTGCTGTTTGAATCTAATCAAATTAAGTGCCTGATTAAACAAAACACACAAGTAATCAAATCTAGGATCTCCAAATATAACATTAACATCTCCAGGATGAAATTTTTAAATTACTCAACAGATGAAGAACCAAGAGTGTCAGGAGAGAAGGAGCCATCCCTGGCTTCAACCAGAAGAGTTCTGATTATTTTCTCCTTCTTATAGGGTTTTCCATGGAACATCCCATTAATGCCACTAAAAGGTGGTTTGCAGTCCTTTGAAGTAGATGATTTCCAAGGTGGTTTCTATCTCTAGCATTCAGCTGGCTATTATTCAATCTATACACTTGGAGGGATCTTCAGAAAAGCCCTTGTGTGCACCTAATCACTACTCCATAATTTGTAGCCAATGTGTGTAGTAGCATGAGGCAATGCTTCTCAATCTTTAATATGTACTCACATCACCAAGCTTCTTGCTAAAATGTGTTTCAGGAAGACTGGGATGGGACTTGGGGGTCTGCATATCTAACAAGCTGCACGTAAATCTGATACTGTTTGTTCAAAAATCATACTTTGAGTAGCAAGTTTCCTAGGGACACAGTTTCACAGTGAAATTCAATAACTAAATAAGAGTGGGGACGGCTGAACACTGTACCTGCTCTTATAAATTTATAAAGCAATTTTCTGAGAAATACTGCAGACTTCTGACTGTGTTTTAACTCAGTGTTTCCTGAATTAATTTCACCACAGAATCTTTTTTTGAAAGAAAATCCTATTACATAACACCAAATAGGTGGTATATAAAACATAGTTTTGGAAAGTTTTATTGTATGGGAGTCTTAAAAGAAATGCATAATTCTGTGTTTTTATGCACTTAATCCCCATTTCTGTGTTAGCAAAGAAACCATTTTCTCAAATTTTTACCTGAGAATAATGAAATATAGGGCTCCCCTGAACTGTGCTTGAAATTTCAAATGTGAATTTTTGGAAACCATTTACAGAAAGAAAAATGTGTGTGTCAGCAGTTACCTAACTGGGTATGTTTCATGGCGTCAGCTACACTGGTCTAATTTGAAGACCTTGGAAAATGCCTTGAGCTAGAAAAATTTACTCCATTGGTTTGAGTACTCCACTGATGATGAATTATTTCTCCAGGTGAACCTTTCCTTTATCTCCTGTTCTTAAATGAAAAGGCTCCCAGAGGGCTGAACGTGGGGTCACTAACCCACACTAGTCGGGGGAAGAGTTGCTATGAGCCCTTGTTCCCTCAAGGGCAGTGAGAAACCATGAAACAGATGGTGCCGTTGCCTCCCATGTATGTGATCAGTCCTTCTCAAAATGTCCCCCTGTATCCCTGACTTTCCAACAACCTAATAATTAAACTAGGGCATGGATTATGACTTCTGTTGAACAGACAAGGAAATGGCAGCAAAGATGATAAGTTGTTTGAAGTCCTCTGTCTATTGGAAAGGATATAGAAAGATGCCTAGGAGTTAGTAAACTTCTCTTCTGTGCCAGGTACTTCATATGCTTAATCATTCAACCACATTTTATACATTGGAAAACTGAAATGCAAGAAAACTAGCCACTTGTCCCAGTTAATAAATGGGAAAACTGGGATTCAAGCCTCTTTGTTTGACTCTCATGCATGCGGTGCAGACACCTTCAGTATTTCTTCATCTGTCTGAGATATTAGTAGCTACCAGGTCTTGAAAATGAGGGAAAAGTCCTCACCAGGATAATGAGATAGAAGTGCAAGATCAGATACTTGCTGCAGAGTGTACTCTACAGCAGAAGTTTGCCCAAGTTCAACCTAGCGATTTCATTGCATGGTTTACCTTTTTCTTTTGCCTTTAAAATATATTGTATGGACTTCCCTGGTGGCACAGTGATTAAGACTCCACACTCCCAATGCAGGGGGCCTGGGTTCGATCCCTGGTCAGGGAACTAGATCCCATATGCATGCTGCAACTAAGAGTTCAAATGCCACAACTAAGGAGCCCGCCTGCCACAACTAAGGAGCCCACCTGCTGCTACTAAGACCTGGCACAACCAAATAAATAGATAAATAAGTAAAAATTATTTTAAAATAAATAAATAAATAAATATTTTGTACAATATCTTGTTCCAAATGGTGTTATTACCATCTCATTATTCCTTCATGCCTTTTAATGAAGCACTTTTTTCACAGGGTGCATTTTTGATATCATTCATCTGGGAGAAATTCTACAGATTTTTTTAAAAGCACATGACACACAATTTCTATTTGAGATTCTATTTGAGATTGATCCCGCCCACACCCCTCCCCCCAACCTTGACATTCTGGAGTCTTAAAAACATTCTTCCTAAGCAAAAACACCAGACAGCAGAGAAAGAAAACAATAAGACACACCTTGTAATTTTACCCAAAAAATCCCTGACAGATCAGATCTATAAATTCAGAGTCATATGGAGTGAGGCAGACCAAGAGCATGAACAGACCACGTTGTCCAGAATTCCCTCTGCTGCCGACATGGTCCAACAAGGTTCAAGGCAAATATTCTCTTGCTCAGATTTGAGACATCCTTCTAGGAAGAGAACCTTCCAACCATCTGCCTAGGAAGCCATTTGTACCATGTCCTCATAATGAGATTCGGTATTTTTCATAGAATTTCACACTCGACATGCTGAATGTGTCTTATAGATCATTTAAAACGTGGTCTTATATTTTGTAATCAGCCAAAGTGAAAATACATGCGCTGCCAGCCAGTCAATTACTAAGTCATTTTTACACTCCCGCTGGGTACCAGTCTGGACTGTGGGGAACGTGTGGCAGGCACTGGGCTAGATGCTTTCACATGCATCTTCTCCGTTAGAGTTAATAATTACAACGATCGTAACGATAGCAAGCAGTTATTTATCTTATTATGCAATAGGCACTGTGATAAATGTTTGCATGATGCCTGATTTAATGCTCACCGTAATCCTACGAGATAAACAAGTCTTCCCAAACCTCATTGCTCACCAGCATCAGCTGAGGAACTTTATTACAATGAGTCCTAATCAAGACCTATTGAGTCAGAATCTCTGGGTTAAAAACATGAAATCTCTATTTTTCAGTAACTTTCTGAGGAATCACGAGGCAGCCTGAAGTTAACCAGCACCTGGGAAAAATAAGACAGATGTTATTATCTCCATTTTATTCACCGGAAATCAAAGCTCAGAGAGAAAAATGTGTGCCCAAGATGTGCTGGCTTGTCACTGACTCACCATTGCAGCCGCCTTGAGAGCATCCTCAAAGGTCTCCTACAACTCAGAGTGTGGTATGAAGATTGGAAGCATTAGCATCACCTGACACCCAATCTGCTAAGACGAGCATCTGCATTTTAACCAGACCCCCCAGAAGACAGGGTGTGAGAAGTGCTGCTCTGGACCACTGAGCTGGAGACTGAAAACTGCATCTCCCAGACTCTACCATCAGTGAGCTTATTTAATTTTACCAACGGGAGGCACTGAGGGAGATCGGAGGGTGGAAGGAAGGAGGAACCGTCTTTGTCCACTTTTGCAGAGACATTAGCAAGGGGCGGGGGATTTAAGACAGGCTACTGTGGGCTCCAGCCACATGGATGGGGTCTGGCGAGCTCTGGGGGCGGTGGGGGCGGGGGGGGGGGGCGGCTTCGGGGATCCTGCTGACTGCAGTGGCACAATTCGGTAACAACAGCTAACAGGTCAGCGTTCACAGGGGCGGGTAGAAAACTAGCTGATTTAGGGGTAACAATCTTTTCTTCTCTTTTGCTCCTTCAGCCCTTTCCGCATCGTTGTAAACATTTTCCTGCGTTAAGTCCCTCTTTACTTGAAATAGCAAGAGTGGTTCTCTTTCCCTGGTTGGATATTAGCTGATATTACAGCTTAGTTATCATACAATAATCATGCTCCTTGTCAGAGGAGCAGGGTGAGGATTCAGCTCCAGAGTCTGAGACGGCAAAGCTCAAGTTCTTAACCAGTATCAAATACAGACGGTCCCAACTTACAATGGTTCGACTTCTGGTGGTGTGAAAGTGATATGCATTCAGTAGGTACTGTACTTCGAATTTTGATCTTTTCCCAGGCTAGTGATGTGTGGTCAGATACTCTCTCATGATGCTGGGCAGTGACAGCTAGCTGCAACTCCCTCTCGGCCACAGACCTGAGGATAAATAATCCATACACCGACAACCGTTCTGTAAGCATACAACCGTTCTCTTTTTCACTTTCAGTACAGGACACAATAAGTTACATGAGATATTCAACACTTTATTATAAAATAGGCTTTGTTTTAGATAATTATGCCCTACTGTAGGCTAACGTAAATGTTCTGAGCACGTTTAAGGTAGGCAAGGCTAAGCTATGACGGTCGGTAGATTAGGCGTATTAAATGTATTTTTGACTTGATATTTTCAACTTATGATGGGTTTATAGGGACTTAACCCTGTCGTAACTTGAGAAAGATCTGTATATCAAAAGCACTGCACAATAAAGTGTTCACTTCTATAGGGTAATTGAGCTGTCTTCTTGCTATTCGTTCTTTTATCTACTAAAAAAATATATATAATAAAACTTCCTGTGCCAAGAAGTATGATAAGTTCTGGGAATACAAAGTTGAATAAAACATAGCTCCTGCTACCATGGAAGGAAGATTCACAGGCAATTAATTATAAGACAATGTGGTAAGTTCAAAATTGAACCAATTTCTAAGGACAGACCAATTTTAACATGACTGTTACTTGAACAATTATGAAAAAAACCAAATGATATTTAAGGCTGATACACCTGGGGACAGGAAGTCTTTTGCGAGAATAAAACCTTCCTTACCTCTGAGTAAGGAAGACAGGTATTGACTGACCTACTTCTCTGAGGTCCCTCCTATGCTATTCATTCATTCATTTGTTCGTTCAATTAATAGCATTGAGTGCTTTATAGCAGGACCTCTCTATACCTTGGGAATAAAGCATTTGAGTAAAATAAGAGGGATTTGATCTCATGGGTCTTCCATTTTTAGGGAGAGACGGTCAATGAGCAAGTAAACAAATGAAGATCATTTTATTCTATGAAAAGTGCTCTAAAGGAAATTAGCAGGGAGATATGAATGAATGCAACTGAGAAGAGGGGGGTATTTTAGGTACAGTTTTATTACAGGGAATATTCGTGTAGAAACCACTGTCCTTGTCCCCAAGAAGGACATAATGAGTCTGAAGGCAATGCTGAAAAGTGGGTCTCAGGTTAGAAGAGCTGCCAGTGAGAACACAGCACATGTAGAGCCCCCTCGAAGCTAGCACCTTCCCTCCAGCGAAGCACTGCTACAGCCAGCATTCAGAGTGCAGGATTCTTCAGGGCAGGGGCTGGCTTTTCCTTAAAGCTCCATTCTTCACAGTTGACAGTGGAAGAGGCATGGCATGGTGCAACGATCAGACACTGAGAGTCCCCAATCTTGGTTTAAAAGCTGGTTGCAACACTACTAATTCATTTGTATCTCAGTTTAACAGCCCGCAAAATGGGTATAATAATTCCCATGTCACAGGATTGTTGTGAGAATTGAATACTCTACTTGGTGCATATCGTGTAGTAGATTACCTGACTCACAATGGGTAAGCAGTAAATATTCTGTGAATTGATTTGCGTGACATATACAAGCACCTTAATGTCAGAAATCATTGTGCTTTTCCCACAAGGTGATGGATCTCTCTCAGAAGAGATGGTGGAGTTGGATGTGAGACAGGGTTTCTTCTCCTTCAACCTCTGTTTACTTGACTAGAGGAGATGGAAGGAATGGGTGGGTCTTCCTCATGGAATTGAGGGCTTTCTGCTGGCTAAGTCTCACTGGTTGCCTCTGCCATTCCTCTTACGACCAGATCTGCCAGGACACCCACTTGCCAATGTCCCTCTGAAATTGTGTTCCCCAGAACTGAACAGAGTCCTCTAGCTGGAGTCTGGCCACAGCTCAAAACAGCCACACCATCACAAGCCCTTGGGTTGGATGCCAAACTTCTAGATACGTAGCTTCAGGGGGCACTGGGATATTACAAGCCAAATTGGACTATGGATTCATGCTATGCTTGTAGCCAATTAACACCCACACGTTGCACATGGTATAATTAGGACACCAAGACCTCCATCTGCTTCTACTTCTACATGTAAGACTTTCACCCTCATTTCAGGTCTTCATACTGATTTCTGCAAAGTTTCTCTAGACCTAAGGAAGATCCTTGAGGAGACGTGATACTTATTTGTGGAATCACTCCTAGAGCTTTGCACGTGAACTGGAATATATGAGACTCCTGGTGGGTACTTATTAAATAAATTACTATTTTAACTAGTGCAAAAGTAAAAAGTGCTTAGTTTTATAAAAACAATAGAATGTATAGTATAGTCAAAGGAAGAAAACAAAATGACTCATAATTCCGTACTGTTACATAACACCCCCAAATAGTATCAAATTATTTGTATTTTTAGGTAACTTGAATTGTCTTAACGTATTATGGCATTCTTACCACATCATTTGAGTAACTGAAAAATAACTCACTACATTGATAGCCTGTAATTCATTTAAGAGGATTTATTTGAACAAATGAAATTGTTGGAACTTTAGGTTGTTTCAGGGTTTTTTGTTTGCTTGTTTACTATTTTAAAGATCTCTGTCTATACATCCTATCAAACATCTGATTATTTCCTTAGTGTAAAGTCCTAGAAGTGGAAGTATTGGGTCAAAGATAATGTCTGTTTTTAAGATTTATATTTATATATATGTGGTCAAATGGCCTCCAAAACCATGCATGACAATATCCTTCTCTTGCCCTGCCTGAGAGTATGTAAAAGGGGGAAAATAGAGTGTGTGTCATAAAATTGTTTGGAAAATTGAGTTAATATACATTAAGTGTCAGATAGTAATTGGTACATAGAAATTACTCCAAAAATGGTAGTTGTTGTTATTACTGTTATTGTTATTTTTACCTTTGTATCTCACATATATGATGCCAACTTCAACTGACTTTCTCCACTAACTTAGTTCATCTGCTGTAACAATAAAACCTCATTTCTATTTCTCATCCCACCAGTAAGAGAGAGGGAGAGAGAGAGATGTTTGGAATTACATCACATATCAAAATGAAAAGCTCCAAAATTTAGGGGGCGAGTCTTCCATTCTCTGTAGTTTATAGAATTCCCCCTTTTCTCTGGGAAGCTGGCCCTTGGAACCTTCATTCTCTTGCTCTAAACTGTTTTATTCTTGCTGCACAGAGGTATTCTGGGGTGGTTCCACTTGTTCAGCTGTGCTGGACCCATTAATTCTAAGAACTCACATCTTATTTTTTTTGGTTTACTATAATTTGGTTGGAGAATGTTCTTAAGTAGCTTTCTAAGAAAAGGAGCACGAGGTAAACGATGAGTGTCCGAAAATGTGTTTAGCTGGGGGTAGATTTCTATATTTAAAATAATTTTTTCATTAATTTTTAGAAAGGCATGTTTCTGACGAGAAGCAATATGCCATGTTCATATGGCTTTTTAGGCTTTGTGGTTTGTTTTTCCTTTCTCTCTCTCTCTTTTCTTTCTTTTCTCCAACGTTTTAGGAACTTTGTATCCTCGAAGCTGAGAAAATTGTCATGATCTATCTAGATGTGTTTTTTTTCTTTCATTTTTCCTATTAGAATCTTAGAAGTACTTTCAATGTGAAAAACTGCCTCTCTTTTCAGCCTTGCAAAGTTATCATTTATTATTCACTTATACTTTTGCCCTCCCCACTGTAATTCAGTCATCTCCTGGAATTCTTATAAGTTATTTACAGAGCTCCTGTATCAGTAATCTGTGTCATTTGTGTTTTATTCTCACACGTTCCACCTGTTTGTCGTTTTGGACTAGGTTTTGAAAAATTTCCTCAATTAGGTCTTCTGATATTTTTTACTGATTTTTCTCTTTTCTGTAATATATAATTTAATATGTTAAGCACTTTTCCTTGTTCTCTACTTGTTGCTTTTACATAGCTTCAGTTTCTTGTATTATAAAGGTGATATACCCTCAATTTTCTTAGAAAATACTGCTGACATAATTTTCTTCTATTTAATTCTCTTAGTTACCTTGAATGGTTTACATTCTCCTAGGTTCAGGCTTCCTAATTATTTATCTTGATCTTCATTTTTCAGGATTTCAGCATTTCTGTCCAAAAGACAGGATTTTCTGTCCAAAAGACAAAAAATACCAAGTTTTGGAAAGAATGTAGATACACTGAAACTCAAATACATTGGTGATAGGAATGTAAAATGGAACTGCCGTTCTGAAAACAGTTTGGTAATCTCTTAAAAATTGGAAGCTGTACTTACCATATAACCCAGCAATTCTACTCCTAGGAGTCTATACGAGAGAAACACACATGCCCACAAAAAAACATATGTGAATGTTCATAGTAGCATTATTCATAATAACCAGAACTGCAAACAACCCAAAGTTTTATTAACTGTTGAATGATAAACAAATGTGATATACCACATACAATAGAGTATTATTCACCAATAAAAAAGAATAAATTACTGATACAAGTTTCAACATTATGAACCTCAAAAATGTTATTTAAGTAACAGAAGCCAAACACAAGATATTATACATGGTGTTTCCATTAATATGAAATGGCCAGAAAAGGCCAAATTATAGACAGAAAGCAGGTCAGTGGTTGCTTAGGACCTGGGTTGGGGAATATCACCAGCAAAGAGGCATAAGGTAAATTTTTAAACTGTAGAAATTTAAAAGAAACCGATTTGTGTTGATAGTTGCACAACCATAAACATTTACTGAAAGTTATAGATTTGTATCCTTTCAATGGGTGAACTGTATTTATATAAATTATACCTCAATAAAGCTCTTAAACCACACATGGGCTAATGTTGGTCATAAAGGAAGTGAGGTGATTAGCAAATTTATTTTGTATTTTGTTAAAAGTAAAATATTTGTACTTAACTAATGCATCCAGTTTTCCATGTTTGGATACTTGCCATGGTCACTTTTTATCTGTGCTTTGGGGCGTTTGACTTCATCTCCATGATTCTCAGTTTTTTTCGTCTGTGGTTGGAGAAGGTTGAACTAGGCCATTGCTAAAGTCTGTTCCACCTCTGATTCAGTAGAATTCTTCAAGCTGGTCTAGTTTTCTCCTTGACCTGTTAGACTCGGTCTGCCAGCAAATTTCCTACAGCTGTCTTTGTTGTCAGGTCATGGTTTGGAACAGACCATCATGTACTTTCCTATTTAATCAAAACTTTCAGAGAATATACTTCAGCTGATTTCCACCATCCTGATGAGCTGGAAAAAGCTGACAAAAATTGAGCAATACTCAGTCCATTTATTTCAAGTGGGTGCACTCATTTTACTTATTTTTACATTAAAAATAATTTTACTGGGCAAAATTTAGCTTACCTACACATAGAGACAACATTAAAATTAAAACAGAATTAATTTTTGTCTACCAGGGCTTGTTGGTCTAGTATAT